TTTCTCCACCTTTCCGTCAGTGGAGAACTGGGTCAAGTGGACATTGAAGTGGCAGGATTGGTGCACCCACTGACTTGTGAAATGTGGGAACAAGTAAAACATCACAGATGATGGATGGTCGGTGGACTTTAGTGTCCACCAGTGATTTATTTTTTAACCTAAGCCCAAAAAACAGGGAGACATTCCTGCGACCGACCATTAATCTTATTTTTCCCCTCGTCCTGCTTTAAACTCGATTCGGTTGTTTGTTTTTTCCCCAGGAGTGATTTAATTCTGTCGGCTTCTCTGTCTCTCCGTGCATTGTTATTGTGATCGCGCTGACACTTTTTTCCAGGTGGGAAACATGTCTCTATAACTCTTCAGTCCTGTGATTTGTCTTTTTTTTTTTTTACCCTTAAGTGGCGTCCGCGTCCATTTTTAGAGGTTGGAAACAGCCACGTTGTTGAGCAGACCTGGTCTCAGCAAACATCCTTGGACTATTAATAAATCATGGTGGCTCTGGGCGTGATGAGGATGTTGGTGTTAACAACATTGTGTGTGTGTGTGTGTGTGTGTGTGTGTGTGTGTGCGTGAATGTTTAAATGGGAGCAAACACACTTTCTTTGATCAATGCCCGAGCCACAGACCACATATTTAAACAGCTTTCTTTAACTTTTTTAACACTTTCTTGAGAAGAAACTTTTCCCGAGTAAGTGCGATTTTGCATTTGCGATGGCGATGTTGAAACCTGTAAGTTGAGGACGCCGTAAACCAAAGAGCCCCTGTATTTATAATAAAAAAATCAAAAAAAGATATTTAAAAGTATAGTATTAGTGTTGACTTAACCGGTGGTGTGTAAAAGAATAAAAAGTATCTAAAGTTAGCCAAAAGAGCTCACATAAAAACATTTCAAATTGAACCCAAAAGTGGTTAAAAAATTGGCAAAGAAAAAAAAAAAATTCCGAGAGGAGGTTTTGTACCTAAATTACCAAGATGTGAAAAAGTGGTTAAAAAATTGGCAAAGAAACAAAAATACCGAGAGGAGGTTTGATACCTAAATTACCAAGATGTGGCATAAGATATTCTAAACTTCTAGTCATGCTAACAGCTAAAGGCTGACGCTGGAATTGTTTTTTTTTTAATGCTTTGCTTTGACCTGTGAAATGTTTTTTGTGAACTCAGTTAGTGGCAGCTTAAATCACAGCACCCTTCAATCACGGTGCACCTTCAGGGACAGCACTGAAGAGTTCTGGTTTGAGACGACCACCAACGGGTCAGAGGAGGGATAACAGGCCTCAGCCGTCAGGGAGGCCAGAATAAGAGATGGTCTGAGAGAAGAGGGCCGGCAGACAGGAGAAAGATTTAAAGCTAGAGGAAAAAGAGGTTAAACGGAGAAGCTGGAGGTTCTTGCGCTGGTGATTTGTGACCCACAGGAAACCAGCAACGGGCTTATTTCACCCCGCCTCCCGGAAACCATAACAGGCTCAGACGCTGTGTGTTTCCTCGTGATAACACTCTGTGAACTCTCACTGACTCAATAACACGCTGGAGTTTGGAGAGTCCGTCTGCAGAATCCTCCGACTTGTTGACCAGTCGTTTACTCTAGACAAGATGAGACAGGAAACGTCCAGGAAGTTTCTCCTATTCATAGGAGTTGTTAGTACAACTTCACTTTTTGGTTCCAGTTCAACAGGACTGACCATCCTCCTTGGACTTTAGGGTCGGTTGCAGAAAATGCAATATAACTATAAAATATGCACTACCCCGACTGATGGACAAAACTTGGTGAGATCAGAATTCAAATGTGGTTCCAAATATCAACGTCCAGGTTTCCTCCTGCAGCAACACCTGAAGAAGGCAGACACAAAGTGATCTTTCTTCGTCTTCGCCTTCTTCTTCCTCTAATACCAAACAGCAGTCAGACAGATGGGGCTGATGTGCTGAATTCTCCCGTCTTAATTCTCCCAGATTAGACTCGCTGTGTTTCCTTTGAGTTGAATATAATATGTGCTGTAGCTTCAGGGCAGAATCAGCTGGAATCAAGAAGACCATCTGCTGGAATCTGCTCCTGTTACCTTGGCTAATGGCTTGTAGACCAGGATAATGTTGCTGTGCAGACGCTGGTACATGGACTTACAGGTGACTGAGTCAACGTGCATGCGTGTGTGTGTGTGTGAGAGAGTTACTGGTGTAGCTATACTTTTAGGGACATTTTTTCGAAAAGTATCGTTGTGGGGACGTTCTGCACGTGCCCACTGAGGGAGAGGATATTTAAAGGTCAAAGGTCAAATCTCAAGTTAGGATTAGTATTTGGGCTCAGGTAGGTGTTAGTGTTAGGCTTTGAATTGGGTTTAGCGTAAGGGGCAGAGAGAGGGAGCCAGAGAGGAGCCGTGGTTGCTGGGAGATTCGACCAGACGACCAGACATCACTGTAGCTTTGAGACGAGGGACGTCTTCCTGACCCAGCAGCAGGTCTCCCCCAGCAGACATGACGGGGGGGTGGGGGCGTTTGGCATTATAGCATCATTTATTTAGCCGTGTGCGTCGGTACGCTGGTGTTTGGATTATAGTTTGTGTGCGTTAATGTGTTTGTCGCATCCTCAGTGTGTTATTTATTTATTTATTTATTTAACTGGGTAATATGCCTGAGCCTTCATTATAGCTGGAGCCATAACTTTGATAAATCACTTGGGCTTAGGGCCCTTACTGCTTTCACAGTATTAGAAAACTAATTGAAATTCTCTTCCGCCCCCTTCTCGCCCTCTTCCCTCCTCTCCTCTCTCTTCTCCCCCCTTCTCTCCCAACCTCCCCTCTCCTCTCCTCTTATCTTCTTCTCATCTCTTCTCCTTTTCTCAATTTCCCATTTCCCCCTCCTTCTCTACTTGCCTCCCTTCTTTCCTTTACTTTCATTCTCTCCTTCTATCCTCTTCTTATTTTCTTCATCTCATCACTCCTCTCCTCTCCTCACCTTTCCTTCTATCCTCACCCCTTCTCTCTTTCTCTCCTCTCACTCTTCCCTCCTCGCTCCATCTCTGTAGTCGAGGCCAAACGCCGCTGTGTTTTTTTAGTGCAACAGAAGCCAAGAGGGGGGGAAATGTCATGGCTGATTTAATAGGCATAGTGTTACTTAGAAACACACAGAAACCTCTCAGTGAGGCACACACACACACACACACACCTCAGAAAACACACTCTGTTCTCGGGGGAGCTTCAGGAATCCTGATAATGTCATCATAGGAATCTCCATAATGTTGCCCTGCTCTCCTGCAGGCTCCTCTCTGACTCTGACTCTGACTCTGACTCAGTCTCTTCCCTCCTCACTCTCTCTCCTGATTAAATCAGCAGCAAATGAAATCTTAGGTGGGACTGAGACTTTCAGAGTTCAGTGACTTGTCTGCGTGGCCCTGATCCGCCCGCTGTCCTCAGCTGCGGGGTCTGTTTGGTTCGTCGCCTGGCATCTCCCAGCTGCCACTGGATTTAGGGCTGGAGTTGTCTCTTTGTCCTCGATCGCTGCTAAAAACCTGCAGATAAATTCAGGGTGTGGTTGATTAGTTCTGCAGGATTCTCCACAGACGCACTTTGTTTTTCCGTGAGATCCCGATCCTCCTGTCTGCAGCAGGACGCAGGCTTTTGCTTGTTTGATCCCGCACCAGCACTCAGCTGTCGTGAGGTTGAGCTTCCACTTCTCTGAGGCTTTTGTTTTTCTGCTCCATGATCTCCCTGCTGCCACTGGATTTCAGCAGGCTAAGCCACTTTTTAATATCCAGACTCTGCTACTGTTTGTGTGACACTCGGGGGAGTCGGTATCTACCCAGCAACTCCTGCTCTGTGAGCTTTGCAGTGATGATGGAAGCAGACGGCCAGACTGAGCAGAGCTCAGGACAGAAGAATTCAAACGCTCTGCTGGTTCACAGTGAATATTTGTATGAGCTTTGGTTTTAACTGTGAAAACAAATCACTTCACCAGAGTTAAAAAAATAGTCAGGTTAGAATTATATGTCACTCTGTTTCTCCACCTGCTTTGGAAGAACTTTAAAGCATGAGAACGTCACTGGTGCGAGGCGGTGGATTTCACAGCGTCCTGTCAGAAAACAAGGAATTCTCCTCCGCAAACATTCCACTGATGTGATGCAAGTCCAGTGTTTTCTACCACTGCTTCCTATACACTGGCACATAGCTGCACACACACACATAGTGTGTATATGTGTGTGTGTGTTCCTGCGTGCAGCTAATGAGGATGTGTTGATTGATTAGACTGCAGTAATTAGCTGGAGTGTGAAGGCCTGGAAAGGTCTCCGCTCTGGTAGGAGTGTCCCCTCTGGAGAGACATTCAGCTTTGCCATGCACCATTACATTACATTACATTACACACACACACCTACACACACACACATCTACTCACACACACTAGCTCTACAGAAACAGTTCAGTCCAAATTTCAGATTCTGGGTGAGTCATCTCTTGGAGACAGAGCTAATGTTGTGATGGGGGTGTGAGGAAACAGAAAGGATATTTGGTGTGTGTGTGTGTGTGTGTGTATTTGTTGCACACACAGATGTGCTTGTGCCAGCACTTTCCTTTCCTGCAGAACACTGACCGATCCTCCGCCTTCAAATCAACTTGCAGCACATCCTTTCTTCTCCTTCTTCTTTCTTCTTCATCGTCGTCTTCTTCTTCATCGCCGTCTTCTTCTCTGCTCATTTGTACTTTAGCCTCTTGTGCGCTGCACTTCTAACTTCACTGCATCACGGAGACGCTTCTCTAATAAACACCACATTAAGGATGACAACCTCCATCTGTAGCTCCTCTCTCTTGGAGTTGCCAGGCTCGGAATGGAACTCCATGCCACTGTATAGTGTTGTAAACAGTGACACCACATGGTGAATGCAGAAATTACACCTGGTGCAACATTGATTTTGCGTTTGTACACTGTACATGGTAAATGTCAAATGTAAAAGTTTTAAAAGTAGGTCTGGATAATTAAGGATGATTGAATGAACCTCCACTTCCTGTCCTCTACAGGAAGTTCTACTACATCACTCTACTGAGGGACCCCGTGTCTCGATACCTCAGTGAATGGAGGCACGTGCAACGCGGGGCCACATGGAAAACCTCCCTGCACATGTGCGATGGACGGACCCCCACACCGGAGGAGCTGCCCTCCTGCTACGAGGGCTCCGATTGGTCAGGCTGCACCCTGCAGCAGTTCATGGACTGTCCTTACAACCTGGCCAACAACAGACAGGTCAGTCCAACAGAAGTCTGTGTCACACTGATGTCACTGTGACAGATTCAGAAATGTTCAATACATTATTGAACTGTTTTAAAAACGAGAACATTCAAATGTGGGAGCTGACGTTTGAACTTCTGCAATGACACAAATCGAACTGAACAGAAGGAGCACTAGAAATTCAGTCTGGTTTGAGGGGAAGGTTCACAGCCCTGAAACACACCAACATTTTACAGAGTGGAAGTGTTAGTCTAGGAGGCTTTAGCAAGAGGATTCCACACTGCCCCCTATTGTCAGTTCCGAAGAGCTGTTTGTCCTAAGAATTTTGAAATATTTCTAAAAAAAAAAATGAACATCATTCTATTTGTGGGGTTGATTTTTTTTTTTTTTCATGTAGTCTCAATGTCCCAGATATAACACATAACACGTAACACGTGAAACTACATATTTTGTATCAGAAGCTCCTGAACTTTACAACATTCAGAGCTTAGAGCTCGCACGCCTCCTTCTAATTATTTTATACGTTTTTTTTTCCACTTCTGTTTGTTTCTCCTCCTAAACCCTATGGAGAGTATAAGAGGAGTTGATCTCACTCCTGACCTCACACCAGCCCAGAGGCCATTAACACCTGATGTTCACACCTTTATTTCCTCCTGCTCTCAGTTTCTCACCTCATCCCGTTGGTCAATCCATCTCATGTGAGCCTTAGGCTGATATTAGCCTGACTTTAAATGTCACACACACACATACACACACACAGACGGGATGTTGTGGATATGTTTTTCCAGTCCCTGCGACACCGACACAGCCCTCAGTTCAGTCCCGATCTCACTGCCTTTCTTTCTCTCTATTCAACTGCAGACAATATGCCACGAGTGACGAGTGATTTAATTAAATCTGAAATCAAAGAACACGACTCCTCTCCTGATGATTTCTAATCTATTTTTCTTGTTACTCTTTTTCATTTCATTTGATTCAGTATGAAATCTCTCACAGTTAATTAAACAAACATCCCGACAGGACTAATAAATACAAGGCTGACTTTGTTTTGGCATTTTTTAAATTTTATAATGGCATCTAATTTAAATATATTTCAATATTTTCATTTTAAAATACATTTGTGATGTTTTCACATCATTCAGTTATATATCTTCATTCATTAATTATTATTATTATTATTGTTATTCTAATCTGATCTGTGAAATTCTTTAGTAAAATCGAATTTTCACAAACAAAACCCATAAAGCCTAATTTGTCCCTGTGTAAAATAAGCCGAAAATTTTAATTAAATTTAAAAAAAATGTAATCATGGAATAAAGAAAATAATGAGTCACCAAACAGTTGATGAACAGATGAATAATTATGATAACAGTTGGTCAGAGCTTACCATAATGGGTTTTTGGCACTAATGCTAAAAAATGTGTTGGAATTAATTATAAAATAAAGGTCAGGAAAAAAAACAAAACAAAATGAATGACAATTTTATAACTGATATAATATAAATGCATATGTTAAATATATAATGTGTCTGTGATAATGTAATCATTTTAAACCATTAGAAGAAAAAACAATTGTGACCACGATATTAAAACTATTTTGCTACAACATCGTTTTTACTCTGTGAATAAGTTTCTAATTATAATTGTTTTGAGCAACATTTTCAAGATTTTACACGATATATAGAATTTAAAAACAATGTACCAGATGTGAATGAATCATTCTTGGGGTTTATTTCTCTGGCTGTTTAGGCTCAAATATTTTTAGATTAGCTTCACTTGCAGCCATAACCCATTGTTTCAAACCCGTCTCCTGACCTACACTTGGATTTGGACTCTTGTCTTCAGGTGCGGATGCTGGCAGACCTGAGCCTGGTCGGCTGCTACAACATGTCCACGGTGCCGGAGAAGAAAAGGGCGCAGCTTCTCCTGGAGTCGGCCAAGAAGAACCTGAGAGACATGGCGTTCTTCGGTCTGACAGAGTACCAGAGGAAAACCCAGTTCCTGTTTGAACGAACCTTCAGGTTACGTTTCATCAGGCCCTTCATGCAGTACAACAGCACGCGGGCGTCAGGGGTGGATCTGGATAACACCACAGTGAGTTCAACAGATGACACTCCTGCCATCGTTAATTAAGGGGGGAAAAAAAAAACGGAGAAAAATAATTTGGTTTCACAACACTGAAAAAGCTACAATAGGTTAAAGGTCAGCGTTTCTCACCCTTGTCTTTTATAAAATGTGTTTCTTTCTTTTAAACCATTCCTAAGCCTATAGTAAATATAACTCATGAAAACACATTTGGTCATAATAGGTTAGCCATAATGGCTACATGTTGCCATTAAATACCAACACTTTTGGTTTAACATAGCTGTCTAGTAGCAGTGAAGAACCAATAGGCTAGTGTGATGTCAGATGTAACATTTTTAATAAAGCAAAAATGATTCTCCTCTTCTTTGACCTGACATAACAGAGCGTAAACAAAGCTGTGACCTCCCTTTACTCTGCTCCTCCCTCAGTCGGTCAGGGAGAAAACGCAGGTGAGGGACAAAAATAGGGAGAAGAAAAACCTAATAAAATACCACGTGTTCAGCAGCACTGGGTGAAAATACACGTACGTGTGAGTAAACGTGACTCCTGTGTCACCGTAAACTTTACAAAAAGAAATACTGAGCCAAAATGTCACGTTTGCTCAGATGGGCGCTGTTCAAACCAAGAAAAACAATTTCTCCGAAAAATGAATATAAAATGAAAAAAATAAATAAATAAAACTTCGCTGGGAGCAGAGGAAACAAAAGGAGGAAATTAGAAACAGTAAGACTCAAAGAACACAGTGGTTCTCCACGCTGTGAAATAAGATGTGATGACTGTCGTCATTAAAGAGACGAAGAAACACAACCAGCAGCAGGAGCAGCTTCAAACATCTTCTTCACACTCTGGTCCGGCGTGGGAGGCTTCTCAGAAATCAGTCTGTCAGTACGCGGCCGTCTGCTGAGTCACACATCAGAAAAGCAGCAAAATAAAGTGTGTACCGGCAGACGCAGGGAGTGAGAACGTAAATTGGTGAATGTTCTCACTGCAGGAACGCAGCCAATGAGGTGATGACTTGATATCACACACTGTTTTAAATGAAATGCTTTTTTTTGTGTGTGTGTGCTGTCAAATAAATTACATCCATTGTCACGGAGGAAATAAGTCGTTTTTTTTTAATCCTCTCACTGCAAACTGTTGTCGTCTCTGCTTCGTGCTGTGACCAGAGCTGCACGGCAGTTTTCTTTTTTTATTTTTTTCTGTACATCTGTGCAGTGATTTCAGAGAATTCTCCAACGTCAAATTAGATACATTTCATTTGTCTTGCTCCAAGTATTGCTAATATTTGCTGGTTTCATATTGAAGCGGTTAGCACGTCGGAGTTTGATTCTCAGAGGAGTCACATTTCCCTAATGACGCCCCCTGTTGTTAGTCACTTTCGATAAAAGCGTCTGCTAAACTAAATGCGTAAATGTAATCAGCCTTTTGGTTTTGTGTTCATTCTCTGTGCCACTAGGGTGCAGTGTTGTACTGTATGTGATAGCTGATTGGCTAAGAAGTCTGCTAGTGACTGTTTACTAACAATTCAACAAGGCTTGTCAATGTGAGTGGAAATGTTTCTGCCTTTAAACAAGTGAGCTTTTTTGCGTCCATGTTATCAGGAGTAAGGATTGGCAGAAAAAAGTTGCTTTTTTAAAAAAAAATACAGTAAAAAAACATTTATATATTTTTATAAATATTTCAAATTAAAAATAACTTGTGTTTTTACATCCTTGCAGGAACAGAAGGAGTTCTTCTAAATGTTTATTAATAGGAAATAATTGATACAAAAACCATTTTGTACAAACAAATATTGAATTCTTTGTCTTTTTTTCAGTAAGGTCAGAGACATGCTCTATTAGAACCTTCTGATCACAGAGGGAGAAAAAATAGAGACCTTGATTGTGAAAAGTGGAAATAGACTGTAGAGATTGACGTCCAACTCTGGTGCTCTTCAGATGGAGTGGAAACACAGACGTCTGGTTTCCATGGTTCCATACATTCTCCGTTATCTTTTGTTGGAGTTCCCAGCTCCTAAACATCTTCTCCCTCTCCTACCATCAGATCCAGCGTATCGAGGAGCTGAACGAGCTGGACATGGAGCTGTACGACTACGCCAAGGACCTGTTCCAGCAGCGCTACCAGTACACGCGGCAGCAGGAGAGGTGGCAGCAGCGCCTCCGCAACCAAATGCAGAGCCATCAGGGCCTGGGCCTGGGCGTCAGCCTGTGGCCGTCACGCAGCCGGCAGAGTCTGGCGCCAACACTGGAGGACGGAGAAGGAGACGGTGAGCGGGAGGAAGGAGAAGAAGGAGGGAGAACGGAGGAGGCGGGGAACAGGCTCCCCACCGAGGACTACATGAACCAGATCATCAACCGCTGGTAGCAGCCGAGCGAGGAGGACAAATGAAATGTGAAACGCAAACAAAGACCCAAACGAAACAGTGCGCCCGGGACACAGGAGTCAAAGCTGAGACTAGGACTGGAGCCACCGCATCATTGAGGTCGTTATAGGCACCCGCTTCCCCCTTCACCCCCCCCCCCCCCCACCTCTCCTTCTGGGTTCTCCCCCATCATCACAGACTGAACTGAGCAGAGGAGAGATATTTATAAGAGTTGCTGACAACTGAGTATCTCCTCCTCCTCCTCCTCCCTTTTCTCCCCCCGCTGCTGTGTCTCTCTCTTGTCTCTGTGGCCTGATATGGAGCATGAGAAAATTTACAAAAAATTAAAGTCTGTGAATTTCCCACTCGTCCTGGTAATAAGGAGCTGGACTGTTTCCCCGCAGGCTCTGATTTAAGCTGAAAAATATAAACTGGGAAAGCAGTGACTCAAAGTCAGGTGGCACTGGTGGTAATCACAACACGGACTGATTTGTGTAATGAAGCATTCTGCTATACAAAAAAAAAAAAAAACTACAACAAAAAAAAAAAGAAAAGAAACCGTCAGCCATGTCAGCCGTGAGCCTGCTTCGTCATGTGACAGCCTCATCCTCATCTTCGATTGTATTCTCCTTTTCTTTGTCTTTTTCTTTTGTTTTATTTTGTTTTCTGCTTTTTTTTTCAAAGATGAACTGTAAAAACACTGAGACCAATGTTGCTGCCTAAGAGAAACCGTGATTCCTTTATTTCTGTACTTTGTTTTTTAAGTCAGTGATGATGGATGGCCGGCCTCGGTCGGATGAACCGTCTCCATCACTGAAGCCTTGTATCTTTTTCTTTTTTTTTTAGAGGGTGTGAAAGGACAAAACCGTGGCCTGGTTTCTCTGTTGAAGCTTTTCAAAGCTGCTATCACGCACCAACTTCATTATTCCTCCCTCTCCCCCTTGTTTTTGTGTGTGTGTGTGAATGTGTGTGTGTGAATGTGTGTATCTCAGCCCTGCAGACGGACAGCCAATTACAGTCCCCCATCTCAGATATAGGTGTGAAGAAATCAAAGGGAGTGAGAGGAGCGAGGAGCCGGTCGGCTGCAGGTTGTTGCCAGGAAGCGTGCTGTTTGAGAGCGCGAGCTCTTTGGAAGCCTTAACTCAGACAAATGCTCCAGATGGGAGTTGTGAAACTACTGGTCACCATGGCGATGTGAGCCCTTAATGCAGCGGGTGGAATTTTTTTTTTGATCAAACCCTAGCCTTCAAAAGTGGAGATTTCATCAAGCCTCAGCTCCACCTGCTGATGGAGACACACAGGGGGCGCTCATGACCAGTAGTTCATTATCCTGACTGGTGCATTGTGTGAAGTGGCTCTGCCTCCATTCACTGGGATTATAGTCAGTCTCTCATAGACCGTACAGTAGAAGTGGACAAACTCATCTGGCTCCACGTTATAGTTGCAGGATGAGGTCGCAGAAGAAAACCAAAATTGTTCAGCTGTTCGCAGAAGTGACATAACATCAGTGATTGGTTGGTTTGGATTTTTTTTTTTTTTTTTTTTTTGGACAACCTCCATCATGAGTTCCAGGTCTCTACAGAAAATCAAGTTTAGGGTTCACTGTAGTGACAGTTGTTGACAGAAGGAAAGAGGAAAAAAACAGAAGTGCTAGAGTGACTGGGATTGGTTAGCATGTGATTGACAGCTCTTGGCTTCACTATTCGAGAAACACCAACTATGGTGCAGTGGTCATGGCTGCTGTTGGAGCATCCTGCTGTCAGTCAAACTTCTTTCTGTCCACCTGGGGTCCTCACTGTGACCACACTGACCTGATGTTCTGTAGGCGGAGACCAGGGACAGAGGACGGAGTCCAAGGAGAGTCACTGCTGCAGTGGGACACACTCAGTATTTGTCCACAGTGTTGTCTGGTTATATGAATCAACTTCAGTCATTTCTCTGACTACTTTAGTGTGTATCTGTGTGTGTGTGTGTGTGTGTGTAAATAGTATGTACAGTCTGCCTGACGTGTGGACGGCCGGTGTGTATGCCTTTGTAAATAGCGAGTCTGACTGGGACAGGATGTTTGATCGACTGGTTTCATGACCAATTATTTTACCTTTTTATTTTTTTATCGTCGTCGTTGTTGTGGTCGGTGTCACACAGTCCTGTTGGCAGCGTGACCTTCACAGTGATGACACAAGCCAGTGTGTACTCCCTCTGACCTTTCTTTGACCTTTCTCCTTCTTGATTTTTATCTCCTCCTCGTAACAGTTGTTCACCTGCCGTCTTTACAGAATGTACAAAAAAGTCTCTTATTTTAATAGGCATGTTTTTGAGTCCGACGTCATCATGGACTGTGTGTCAGAAATGGACGTAGCCGTCAGTGGACTGACCGGAAGTTACTGCTTCACTCATTTCACAACATCAGTGAACATTTACTTAATGCGGTTTTGGTCCAGTTTAGTGTTTCTAGGTCTCCTTCAATGAATTCAATACATTTTGATCCTATTTGGGGGAAAACAGAAGATAAGTCAAAGCAGGAGAAGGCTGATGAGTGGACAGTGTAACTGAGACTTCACAGTAGGAGCCTGATTGGATAAAAAGCCACTGTGTTAATCAGACATGTCGTCCACTCAAACTTGTATGTCATGCTTTATCGTGTATTTTCCTCTAAATAGTGTAGAGCCTATAGTTTCCAGGGAATTATTTTTCGTCAGAACTTCCACACTCTGGTTTAAATATCAAACCCTGTGCAGTAGGTGGCGTTGTAACTAACAATGTTTATACATGACATCATGCTTTTTAGAAGCTGATACCTCATAAAATCATTCAATGCAAAACAAAAAAAAAACTATGGAATGACTTCAACCTTAATCATATGTTACAAAGGCTTCCCACAGACGAGGGCAACTAATAGTTGCGTCCATTTCTTATATACGCTCTATGATTCAGTCGGACGACATGCCACGCACAAGATGAATAAACCGACAATTATCTGCAGACACTGGATTCTGGTTTGACAAACTGCCTTTGAACCACTGCCCTCACGAGGAAGAAAAGAATCAGAACGAAAAAAAAAAATCATGAAAACAGAGTCAGCCCTGAAAAATCTAATTGAAGTGAATGTTGTCCAGACCCAGTGTCCCTAAGAGACAAACTGCTTCGTTCTTATTATTACCTGTAATATATGACATCCTGTTGTTAACAATAAGGTATGTGGTTTTAAATATATAGGGAAAGGGAAAAGGAAGATGTTGTTTTGACTTAATCACTGAGGATACTCCTGTGTCTTTTCATCGTTTTATCTTCTCTCTTTTTGAGATGAAATGTAACCTGAAGGGAAGAGAAGATGATAAAAAAGAGTTGGGAGAAATCCACAGTCGTAATGCTGCTTTTTGTAAGGTACAATAACGTGGGGGGAGAAACGATACGGGAGAAAAGGAAAAAGAAAACCAGACGGAGGGAGAAGCTCTTTTTTTATTTTGTTTTTAGCTTTTTCGTCTTGAAACCAGAGACTTGAAAAGACTCTTCAGCTCCAAGCATTTGACCCCAAAAGACTTGTATTATTAGATCTGGCTCTTCATTAGTGTCTCTAACCACATCAAATAAAAAGTATATATACATATACAGTATATAAATATATATTTTTACATTTTTATCTTTCTGTTTCATGTGTTTTCAAGCTCTCAAAAATGAAACCCACTATTCTTGTTTGTTTGGTTTTTCTTTTTCTTTTTTTTTTTTTGCTGAAATAATTCCAGACATTGGTGCCGTGAAGCTGTACTCATCTCTGTGACTGTGTATATCTGATGTCTTAACAACAGTGTTTCCTTCGAGACAGTGAAGCAGCCAAGGTGTCGGTAGCGGTGAAGAGAGAGAGAGAGTGATAAAAACTTTGTTTTGTCCTTTTCAGATTGGTGTGAATCCTTTCATTTATTCATTCATTCTCTCTTTCTGTAACAAATACTCCTGGGTTTTATTTCATATGTGATTGCAAAAATCAAAAGTCATGAAACCACCTATTAAAATATTTCATTTTGTAGCCCTGACTGTGTCCTGGTGTCATTTGTGATCGTAAAAAAATCAATTTGATTCACTTTTGGATGAATGTTACATCAAAAGGTGCCGGAATTGAGATGCTGCCATTTGGTTCCGGGCTGACTTGGAAATACTTCATTCAGTATTACTGGTACTGGGAAATGTGCCAATCCAGAGATCCGATATTCTGAGATCTCTTTTCACTATAGCCAGCTGCACACTGGTCAGCAGGTGATGGTGTTTTCATACTGCCAGCTGCACACTGGTCAGCAGGTGATAGTGTTTTCATACTGCGGTTCAGTGTCTCATTGTCCTCATACTGTAGGTGGTTTATTTGAGTCAACAATGTCGGCACAGGGAGTTGGACCTACTTTAATGTATGTTCTATTATGATTTAACCAACATTGAAACATGGAAATAGTGCTTCTCAGTTGGAGACTGTTTGTAATTGAAATGTCCCACTGGTGTAAGAGTTCTGGTCACCTTCTGTTCACGATGCAGTAAAACTTTCATTCTAATTCTTTTATATTTTTATTTATTTCATCCCAAACCCCTGGTTTGTGAGCCGGGAACTGGCCCACAAATCTCCCACATCTGGCCAGTGACTTGATGTCAATAATTAGTTTTGCCATTGAGGTAAAAAATGTAAATATTTTTACAATTAATACAAGCTTTTTGAACTGTTGTATTATGTAAGTATTTATATGAAGGTACTTTTTCTAACATATCTGGGATTTCGTACTGAACATGGAACACAGATGTGGCGCTCCACAGTTTCATTTTCACTCTGACCACAGATTTTCTTTTTAACTTTTGGATTGAAACAGCCTTGTGTTTATGAGAGGTAGATAGAGCTAGAGCCAGATATCACATGTACATGAAAATACTCATACTCCAATGGGTTTGTAAAACATGGACAACCCGACGTGATATCATTCCTGACAATCTGTGTGTTGGAGTTCTGCCCTCCAGCCTTTCTATATTTCACCACACTTCCATCCACCACCATAGACGTACCACCACTCCTCCACACCAACCAGGGGAGCGTGACCCCTATAAAGCAGCCTGTTCCTGCTCTTAATGATAGCCTCAGTCCTGTCAGCAGTGATCTACAGTCTAATTCCATCGGCAAACACTCTCCGCTCCGGCTCCAACGCAAGGATATGCACAAAAATGCGCTCGTAGCTTGGCAGTCGGAGGCGGCGAAGGCGAAAGAGTCAGGGGTGTAAATTTTTCATTGACCTTGGATGAAAATGTGTTGGAGATGGAACAGAAATCTAACCTTTGACCTGTTTCATCAGCACAACACCGAGCTTCAACTCTGACCTCCTTTATTAGAGGAGGACATTAACATTTCTACACATACACTGTTGTGTTGGATGGAGCAACATCCTCGGTCTAAGCATCTCCTGTAGAAGAACATACTGTAGGACAG